ACATCAACAAAAGTGACTAAATCCATCTGTACCACCAGTGGTACACGCTGCCCGATGGGACAGCCACCCATGCACTTAGACTCTGGTGGTTTAAGGTGGCAGGAACGTGTTGACCATCAGATGCACCAGCAGACTGGTTCCCAGAGCATTTCCCACTTGAAATGCCCGGTAGAATGTCTGAGGGCTCCATGTTCACCACATCCTCATCCATGTTTGTTATTTTCTTTTTTCTTTGTCCATCTTACTGGGTATGAAGTTGTATCTTAGTGTGAGTTGGAGTTGCGTTTTCCCACTGACAAATAATATGGGACATTTTTGTAGTTTCTTGACTATCTGTGTATCTTCTTTCAAAAATGTCTAATTCAGGGGGCTGGGGATTTAGCTCAGCGGCAAAGCGCCTGCCTGGCAAGCGCAAGGTCGTGAGTTTGGTTCCTGGTACCGGAGAAAAACCAAAAACAAAACAAAAAAAATGTCTAATTCAGATCCTGTGCCCCTCTTAAAACTGACTTGCTTGCCCTTTTCATGTTGAGCTGTAAGAGTTTCCTATATGCTCTGGAGATGAGTCTCTTCTCAGATATAAGATTTGCACATATTTTCTCCATTCGAGGGCTGCTTCTTGATGGTGTTCTTTGAAGTACACAGGTCTTTGATTTTGAGGAGATTCAGACTCCCTGGCTGTTTCTTGTTTTGAGATGACTTGTTTTTTGCTCACGGCCTCTGCTCCGTGGAGAACAGGGAGTGCGTACAACAGAGTAAAGAAACCCTAGCACAAACTGTCCTTCTGGACAACCACAGCCATGTTGCCTGTAAGGAAGGTCAGGGCCAGGCCTGGTCCTTCATGAGCATCCCACCTCTTGTCCTGTTGCCACTGACAACACTCTCCAGCCTTTGAGCCCCTCCACGTCCAGCACTGCACTGGCTTTGGCTGTGGGTCATCCTTGCAAAACTCCCCAGAGGGCTGTTAGTAGACCCATTTTACAGACCGGGCAACTGAGGTCCAGCAAGAGAAGAGGTTGGTCCAGAATGGTGGAGGCAGGATAGAAATGGAGCCCCTGGGTGACCAACCCCAGCAGAGTTATTTAGGGTGTTTTGTTGTGGTTCATTTTACCTGGACCCGTGAGTCACTGTGCCAGGTCTCCATCATTAAAACCCCAGTGCTAAGGCCTGGCAGGTGGGTCTCAGCTTCAGTGTGGTTTTGCTAGAAAAGCTCCGTGTATCCCAGGGCAGCTGAGAGCTAGTGATGACCTGCTGCAGGGACCTGTGTAGAGTTCTTCCTAGACAGGAGGGTACATAAGTGGGTTGGAGAAGGCTCGTGATACAGAAGGCACCTGCCCTGGTGCTCTTCTGTGGGATGCAGGGAACCCCCAGCACAGGCAGCTCTTTTGGTGTTTCCTGCCAACGTCCGCAGGCAGGACATTGTTGCCTGGGTCCGCCATAGCAACAGGGCTGTCTTTTTATTTCTATAAACAACGATAGGGTAAGGCAGGGAAGTTTGTTCCTGTTGAAGGAGAAATTACCCATCAGCCCACTTTTCTGTACAAAAGAAATCTATTCCAAGCACTCATTTGGCTCTCTGGGAAAAAACATTCATCTTTTAAGAAGTAAAACGCTTGAATGAAAAGAAGTAATTATTCCAAGTTCACTCTTTCTCTGCCTCTCCCACCTCCACCCATGCTCCTGCCCCCTCAGTGGCACCTCCCCCTCTACATCCGGGCACCAGCCCCAGAAGTCTGAGCAAGTCCAAGCTCCTGGGCCTCTGGGACAGTCAGCTGGCCTGTCCGCAGGACCATGTGGAACTCCAGGCTTGCCCTTCTTCCCAACTTTCCATTCTTAGAGCCTTAGTTTCCCCATCTGACTATGGGGTTGATTAAAAACGGTACTCATTTGGATTTGTGACCATCAGCCAACCTCAAAGCACCTTTATGGCTTTTGCTGTATTTACGGACCATGTTTACAGTTATCTACATGAATGCTTTTCTTTAAATCAGTTCATGTTTTAAATTAAATCATTTTTAAAAGGGAACCTTGTAACAGAAATATGCCTGAAAACCTAGTATTAATCTGTCATACATAAAAGCAACTGGAAAGAATGGCGTGGAATCCAAGTAAGATACTCTTTTGCCCGCCTGAGGCTCTACCCTGAAGACTCTCTTCTTGTTTGAAAGGAGCTTAATGAGTGTCAGAACACGGTAACAAGACGGAAGCATCATGCTGACATTTTGTCTTGGTGGTCAGAGGCTTGAAGGTGAATGACGAGAGTACACTTCTCTCCGGGTGACTGTATATTATTCGTGTTCCTAAAGCTCCTAAGACCTGTCATCACCTTTAGAAAGGCTGGGCTAACTCTCTGCCTCACACCTCTGATACACTGTGGGGAAGCTGGCTTGTTCCTGGTGGAACGAAGAGCACTGCATTAGGAGTGAGGCTCTTTCCTGTAGTCTGTATCCTTGGGGAGGCGGTGGAGAGTCCATCTAACTAGCCAACCCATGGTGTCCAGGGCAACCAAGGGCATGAAGCATGGGTTAGATGGGCAAATCCCTCCCTTGCAAGTGCCCACCACCTTGTCCGTGGGGCTTGGGCTCTGGCCGCCGGACCAGGCCTTTTATTCCTACTGAGATCCTCAGCTGTGATCTCCCAGCACCCCAGCAGATCTCCACCCTGGTGCCAGTGAATCCAGTGAGCTCAGAGTCCACCTCGGTCTGAGCAAAGATTCTGTTTGGGTGGCTGGCCAGCTGGATCCTGCTCCTTTGAGAGTCATGTGCCCAATGGAACTCCTCATAGCAGGGCCCCTAGGTCCCTTTCCTGGTCAAAAAGTTGGATTTTTCTTTGCGGCTGGTGAAGCCAGCTCTACCTCTGACTCGCTTCTTCTGCGTGTATATTTCCTGCGCAGAAGTCCTCTCTTTGGAGTGACTAGGGACAGCAGCCACAGGTTTTCTAAGAGCACCCTTGCTCTCCAGCTCTGTCTTGGGTGTGCAGGATGCTGGTCCCCGTGGTGCCCGTCTTTGGCTGACTTCCTATGTGGCCCTCCCCATCCATAGGCCTTGGGCAGAGAAATGATGTCTCATGGGGCTGCAGGGTTTCAGTTGAATTCCTTGAATCTTAGGAGATTCCTGCCTTCATCCTCAAGGCCCATGCAATGAAATCTTCCCTGGAGAAAAATCCAACCCAATTTCAGATTGTTGCTGGTTTGGAACCCATGGAGCAGAAGGGCATTGAGTGTTCTGGAAACAGAGTTGGCCGTGCCCTCGTCTCTCATGCATAAAGCCTGGAGGGGCTCTTTCAGCCCCTAGGGCCCAGAGCTCCTCTTGCAGAGTCCTCTACAGGCGTCACTGGCCCAGAGCAGAGTTGCCTGTGTGCAACAGGGATGTGTGTGAAGAAACATCCCTTCTGCTCCAGCAGCTGCCGTGGGACCAGCGAGCCCTGTGTGCATGCCCTGTGTAAACAGCACATCATCTCCGGTCACACACTTTGGGCCCACAGGTCACGACCAGGGATTATCAAATTGACAGAGCTCAGCTGGCCGCTTGCGGAACATCCGGGCATGTTGCATTTTGTTAATTATCATTTTTTGCTTTTGACGTAAAGGGTCAAGGTCTGGGTTAAGGTCACTGTGTAGTTTCCTTTCTTTCTCATTAAAGCTGTCTGGCTCTCAGGGCCCCTGGTTAAATTCTGCCATTGTTTAAAAATGTCCCCTCTCACTCCTGACCCCTAAAAATTCTTTGTCCTGATTTCTGCAAAGCCACTTGAACGGCAAAGGAAATGTTGGTCTAGGCCTTTTGAGCTCTGTCTGCTTTGCCCTTTTTGGCTGTTCCTCCAGGGCTCTGTGTCCCCAGACCTAGGGGGACTGGGGAATTTACTAACCTAGGGAATGCTTTGAGTCCCAGTGGATGGACCAGCAGGGCCCATGAAGGAGCTGGAATGTTGTTCCCCACTGGCAGCAGGTTTGCTCTGGGTGCTTGCTGGCTTCATGGCCCCTTACTCGGATGCTGGTATCTATGAACCTGCTGTTTGGGATCCTCAAAGGCAATCTTGGCATCTGAAAGTTGTCAGAAAGTGTCAGTTTTGCCATAAGGAAAGCTATGAATTCTGCCAGTGCCTTGGTCTTCTTGGTAGACATCCTAGTACACAGCTGTCAGGAGTCAAAGGGTGGAAGAGTGTCCCTCACCATCTAGCCAAATTCCCTTTGTCCCCCAGCCCCTTGGCAAGCCTCACCTCAGCTATGAAGCCACCTGTGTCTGATGAGGCCACTTCTGTGGCTGTCCCTGGGGACTAACAGGTTGCCCACTCTTGGCCAACTGAGTCGGCCTTTGGACTACTTAAGCTGGAGCTCATGACCTGGGCACAGAATGGACACTTACAGAACCTGTGGCTGGTGGACTGACTCAGCTCAGACTCCAGCTGGAAAAGCTTCCTGACTGCTCACAGCAGTGCCCCCTACTTACCGAGTAACTGCACATGGTGATATTGGCCCAGATAAGAGCTGGCTATCTGCTTGCAAAGGCAACTCCCCCTCCTGGCATGGTCTCCAGCTGCCCCCAAGGCTATCACCAAAGAACTCATCCACCACCTAGAGGTTAAAGTTACCAAGGCAGCAGATGTGCCTGCTTCATAATGGGATTGTAGCCCTTACATAAGTTGCTGGGTTATGTCCAGACATAGTAGCAGGGTGCTGCTGCCGCCTTGCCTCTCTACCAACCATGCAGTGCTCCAGAGAGCTCTGACTCTGGGTCTTTGGGCTCTTCATCAGGGAGGAAGCAGATTGGGCGCCATCTTGTAGAGGTTTGGTGGCTGACAGAGGCAGGAAATGGATTCTGGAATGCTCCCCAGAGTGAATACTATATTGGAGACAAAGGAGGATCTGGATCTTGTTGCAGGGGAGGGTGCGGTAAAACATAAATAACAGCCAGGCGTGGTGTACACGCCTGTAATCCCAGTACTTGGGAGGCTGAGGCAGGAGGATCATTGTGAGTTCACAACCAGCCTGGGCTACAAAGTGAGCTCAAGGCCAGCCTGAACTGCATAGCAAGACCCTGTCTCAAAAAGACAGAAAAAAAAAAAAACATAAATAACATAGGAAATAGAACATCATGCACAGAAGTGTATACTGGGGCTGGGAAAAGAAATCACAGCAAGTTATTAGAGGCTTGGAAGGGCAGGGGATTTAGCTCAGCTGCATAGCGCCTGCCTGGCAAGCACAATGTCGTGAGTTCGATTCCCAGTACCAGAAAAAAAAACAAAAACCATTAGAGGCTTGGAGTTTCTGGTCTTTTTCATCTGTGATCTCAGTTTATCAGAAATGTTTGTAGAAACACTTCCACATTTAAACCTGGCTTCTTCCCCATGCCTAGAACACTATAAGTCTTAGGGCTACAAGCAGAGAGTCCCAAAGCATAGCATCCTCTGCTTCATGGTAAATCTACTGTTGATTGAAGACCATGTGCACCTTCATGGCAAGCGGTGAGTGTTGTCCCTCTTAGAACTTCAAAGAGCCATTGTGAGTTGCCCAAGGAGGGAGCTGTCATTTCCCAGCTTCTATCACAAGGACCTCCAGCTATCAGCTGCCTCTCCGGCAGCATCTCTGCCCAGAGGGGCTGCAACAGGCACCCTCCTCAGGCCTTCCAGCCCATCCACTGGGCTGACGGCAAGGACACTGCAGTAAGGAGTCCCGGTGTTCCTGTCCGGAGCCGTGGGATATTGACATCAGACCTAGGGTGGAGGGAACGTCACTCGTGAGCATGTGACGGGCTGATTTATCTTCTCTCCAGTGACCCAGAAAACAAAACCCTCCTTTTTCCTTTGATCTGCTCTTGTTTGGGGCTTGTGGATTGTGTCTCCTGCCTGGCCACAGACAGAGAGGAACTGCTCCAGACAGACTCAAGGGTATGTGGCAGTGGCTCTAACACATGGCCCTGAAGGTTTTGATTAAAAAGGTAGAAGAGTGGCGCTTTTTCTTCCTGTCAGCCAGACCTTAGATCAACCCCCAAGTGAGGAAACACTCTCTGCAACTGCCGGTCAGCAGTCTTTTGCCTTGGCCTTCTTTTTTTATTTGTTTGTCTTTATTGTCACTTTGGCCTTCTGGTTGTGATTGTACAAGCATGTTTAATTTCAGGCCAGGAGTTGGAGTTAGAACAAGCCCTGTGTGCCCTACCACCCTCCTGCTGTCTTTGCCACCCAGATTCCTGGTGGCAAGTGACAGATTCTTGCTTTTCAGTTGTTCAAACAGAGAGGGAATAATTGGAAGCTGATGGCTGGAGGCTCTTCATAGGATCAAATGAAACCATGAGAGACACAGTAGAACCTGGGCTTGAAACCAGGATGTGCTTTCCAAGAGCATCTCTGGGGTCTCCTATAGCCTGCAGCCCCCAAGGCTCCAGCCCACAGTCTGCCTGGGATGTGTGCACTGATCATCCAGTTTTTTGGTTTTTTTTTTTTCTGGTACTGGGAATCGAACTCATGACCTCACACTTTCCAGGCAGGCACTATGGTGCTGAGCTAAATCCCCAGCCCTCGATCATCCAGTTTTAACTGAGAAAATTCCAGAGAGGAGCTCTGATTGGCCTAGCTTGTCACCATGGCAGGGGGTAGACCAGATGACCCTGTGAAGGTACTTTTGGTGGTCAGGAAAAGGATTGACTCACTCTTCCACACTGTGAACATATGTGTTGTATGTGTGCATGTGCATTTAGTCAGCAAGAATATTGAGTACCTACTGTGTACCAAGAACATCACCAGTTCATTTCAGCAAAGTGGAATGGAGAGATTATGGGTTTGTGAGCAGGACAAGACTGCATTTGAATCTCGAGTCCGCCATTTAATGATATTCTGTCTATAAGCATTTATGAAATGCATACTAAACCCACATTCCATTCTATGATATAGCAGTGAAGCAATGATCTTTCTATTCACCCAGCTCCGTAGGCTTAGTTTCCACATCTGTCATCCTGGAGCAAATTGGTGAGAAACCCACACAGCCACTGTGCCCAGCACCAGTGGCTAGGGCCAGCCCCTCTGAGCGCCCACAGCTGCCTCCAGTCCTGGCTCCTGCTGGATGCCTGATTCCTATCCCTGTCCCTGTCCACAGCCAGGCTTCCCAGAGCTGATGCAGATCCTCTTAGGGTCAAGGAGTGGCCAGGGTACAGCTGGGCAAGTGGCCCCCTCTCTTTCTGTCCGGGAGAAGTCATCATCCCCAAATAACAGCTGCCTCCTACCTGGTCCAGCAGGACGAGGCAGCCCCTTACTTAGAAGGAAGGGGAGGGACCTCTATCTTGCCCCTCTTCTGCTCAGCTTTTCCCGAAAGTTGAATCTGTCCATGTTGGGAAATTGCAAATAGTTTACATGGGGAATGTCAGCTGCCCACATATGGAAATATACACATCATTAAGCCCTAAGTGCTTGCGTCTGGAGATACAGCGGACAGTCCTGGGCTGACCTTTTGTTCACTGGAAGAACCATGGCTAATGAGCTCTGGGCTCTTTGGTGGGATGTTTGCATATGTTGAGGCAAAACATATGTTGAACATTGGTGTGTGTGTGTGTGTGTGTGTATCTGTGTGTGTTATACATGACAACACTACAAACAGCATCTGTCAAAACATACAGGATCCACGGTATCTCTGTATCCAGCACCCATGTGTACTGCTCTTCAAGGCTGTGCTACCTAGGAAGGAACATCGCATCCCTGGAGGACATGATGCTCCTCAAGGATAAGCTGTCTGGCCAGATTGCCAAAGTTTACATCTTATCTCTGCTCTTAGGTCAGCCATGTGACCTTGGGCAAGATACTTAACTTCTGAGCTATTTTTGCCTCTGTAAAATGGAGATAATAATAATGAAATGTACCTTGCGAGGGCTAAACAAAATAACCCAGTGTAAAGCTCCCACAGTTGACATGAAGTAAGTAGGTGCACAAGGAATGGCAGTGATGATGACAGTGATCGTGGTAGTCGCCACTGAGAGGTAGGGTTGGGTAGCAGGGCCTGGTGCTTGGACAATCATCTTGGATATAGATCTTCTGTATGGGAAGCCCATCCTGAAGAAGGTGGAATTTGGACCTGCCGTGGTGGGTAAGAAGGGTTGCTTTCTTGGAAAGGAGCAAAGGTCCAGCATCTAGAAAGCCAGAGCTCATCCAGGAAATGGCCAATGTGGGGACAGAGCTTTGGGAACAGAAGGCAGAAAGGGGAAGCAAGTCAGGAAGGGTGCTTGGGGCCAGATCCAAGAAGACACTGGACTTGGTGCTGTAGGCAGTAGAGACCATCGATGCTATGTGGTTTAGAAAAGCTCCCTTGGAGGCCATGGTGTCAGATGCAGAGCAAGTGGTAGCAGAGAGCTGTGAACATGAGGTGGGGATGGAGAGGCAGCAGCGGGTGGGAGGGAGTCCCAGGGCCAAGACTGCTGGGTGTGTGTCTCCATCTGTGAAATGGGGATGAGCCGCTTTTGAGTGGGGCTGATAAGGGCAAAGCTGAGTCCTTCCCAGAGAGTTGGTCCAGAGCTCAGGCTTGGACGACTCTAAGAGCCCAATCCTGCCTCCGTGGGCCAGCTGTGGGACGCAGAGCAGTCCCTTCTCTCTGTTTCTCCATCTGTGCCTGGATAAGTTGGGGATGAGTCCCACGGGGTACTTCCCCAGAGAGCTGATCTCTCCTTCCCACCCTGTCTTGGGTCCTAAACCTTTGAACAAGTGTGGATGTGTGTTTCTAGATGGTTCCAAGAATGATGCAGGAGTGGAGAATTATTGTGCGGCAGGGTGGATTCTGGAGACCCTTCCCCGGCCCTTTCCTCACACTACAACTCTGGTGCTTTCAAGGGTACCAGCCACAACCACTGATCCTCGTTTCCACTCTGACCTCCTGAAACAAGACACTTAGATGAGAAAGAAGCTTGAGGAACAAGAGCCTCAGACACAGAGTTTCAGCTGGGTGCAGGGAATAGTGTTTTTTTCTCTTGACAGTCACTCACTGTGTGAAAGGAGACCAGAAGTGCAGGGATAGCTCCCAAAGTACCCAGTGGCAGCAAGCTTTGAGGTGTTGTTGTTGGGCTTGATGACACAGCAGCCTCCCTAGATGAAGGTCACCTCCTGCGAGGTGGTGTTCCCCCTGTGTTCCTGTTGTCCAGATAAACCTCCTCACTCTGCTCAGCATCGTGGTACAGCTGCTCCACACTGACTGCAGCCTCCGTTTGCTGTGCAGTTCCTCTCCACCATGTAAATTCTCCCTTGCTCAAGGTCCAGCTCATGTCTCACTCCCTGGAGCTCCCTTGCAAATTGCTCCCCCTTGGAGCCCACATGGAGTTACTGCAGATCTCTAGCCTCTACTCCACAGCAGGCTGGGCTGATCTCCCTTTGGAGTCTCTCTGTAGGGACTCCACAGCACCACCTTGGGGACTGACTGCTCACTGGCCTTGGCTGAATGAGCTCTGTCGACCTGGGGTTGGGCTGCCAGCTGTCCTCGGGTTTGGATCCCTCTGTCTGTAAGGTCACCAAGGGGGGGCATTTGAGCATCAGAGGGAGGCCTTGAGTAGGGTAAATGATCGCACATGCTTCCTGCTCTGCATGCTGGGTACGCCAGCTAGCTTCATCCCCAGGCCAGGCCCACTCTGCCCTCACCACCACTGACCTTCTCAGCCTGCCTCAGTGCCCCAAATTCCCTGGAGTGTTCCTGCTCCAGGTTAAGCACAGAGGTCTTTGAGCAGCTGCAGTTGGGACTCAGGAAGGTGAAGCACTGAACAGGTACATATCCAGAGCTGCTGGGGTAGGGGGAGGTTGGCCTGCTCGTGCATATGTAGTCTCTTAGCCAGCCAGTCGTCCCAAACGGACAGCTCTCACTCTAAACCCACCGCTACACAAGCACAGCTTCAGTGCAGACCTTAACTCTTCAGTCCAAACAGCCCATGACCCCACATGGTGGTCACTAGAAAACCCAAGGCCCTCACTGCACAAGTCATTACTGGCCGCCGGCGCCAGCCCTGAGCATTGCAGAGACTCCGTTTTGAAGGAGCAGAAGACAGAGAGGTCTGATCTACCTGTGTGCTGAAGGTGAGGGTCACGGACAGTAGAGGATGTGGGGATGAGGACAAAAGGAAGGACAGGGGTCTGCAGAGGAGAGAAGGTGCCAAGCCACCCTGAGCCCATGTCACCTGCTGTCAGGGGCATGCTCTGCCACTGAGTGCCTTGCAGAGGTTTTCCCTGCAGTCCCCAGGAAAACACCCTTGCCACTGCATTTCTTTCTGCCTGGAAGGGTATGTCTTGGTCACAGATGTCAAGAGACACCCAGATCTCCAGAATGGGTGTCATAAGTATCAGGAAGAGCACAGCCTCGGGGTGGAAGAGGGGCAGCTAGAGGGAGCAGGTAGCCAGGAATCCCCAGGGGAGTCGTGGACCTACCCCCGGTCTAGGCCTCCATCAAGTGAGGCCCCACCTGCCTCTGAGGCAGGAAAGAGATTCAAGGTCAGTTGTTCACCCCAAAGTGGGAGGGGGAGCAGCTCTTTTCCCTCAGGGTGAAGTGGCTTTTACCCATAGGCTTGGGCGCACAGAGAGCAGGAAAGGTGTACCCAAGTTCTAATGCCGCACTGCTCCTCTCCAGCATCTGTTGGGGAGAGAATGGGAGGGTTCTTAAGCAAAGAAAGGAGCATGGTAGAGGTTGTCAGAGCTCCAGGTGACTGTGGAGGTGCATGGGTGGTCCCAGCAGCCTTGGCCACAGGAGAGAGAACTCCGGTCAGCGCCCAGGGATACACAGCAGTGTCCTTAAGGAATATCTCACTATCTTAAGCTGCTCCCTCCTTAAGAGCAGCTGGGTGTCATCTTGACACCCAGTGACTCTGTAGCTAGGCCATGCAGGCTGCTTACCTTCAGCTACCTGGGGACCATCAAGTGCCCAGCCATTCATGATTGGGCATTTTGAGCAGATAGCCCCTGTCCCCAGTCCTTCCTGTAGCCCTTGGGAGCTACAACACCAAGAGACCATTGAATGCTTCACAAAGGAATGTGGGTACCCAAATTCACACTACTTTGTTAAAGTCAAGGCATTCAGCTAGAGCCCAAAGGAGGAAGGTGTCACTTAAAAGCACTCCTGAGGGAGTCACAGGCCCCTGAGGGAATTTTACCAAAGACCGTCACCAAGACCCTTTCCCTGGCCTCCTCCGGGCTCCTTCGCCCCTGCAGACAAGGAAGAGCTTGAGAACCTCACCCTTGCATGTTTTCTTGCTGAGAAGTTACCAGGGCCATCTGTGACGTAAAGGAGCATCTCCACAGCCTCCCTCCCCGCCCTGGCCCTCAGCTTCACCCCACGGGACAGCCCATAGCACCTGCACAGTGTGGCTCTCCCATGTCCGAAGGCCTTTGCCGTGACATTGATTTTGTCCAGAACCCACCTGACTGGAGGGATTGGCCTCCTAGACGGGATCTGGAGCTGCAGGGGATTCTGTCCTCAGAGCCGCAGGGAGGAGGTACGGGTGCTAAGCTGTGGTTCCTCAGAGCTCCAGGGCTTTCTGAGCTCCTAGAGCCTCTTTTTCTCCTGTAGGCTCCTGAGGGCTTTCTTTTTTAAAAAAATTTTGTTAGTACATATTTGCCACATATAATGATCACATTCATCGTAGGGAATTTGTATCTGTGCATAATCTGTCTTAATTCTTTTTTTCCCATTTCCTTTCCCTCTCTTAACTCTTCTTCCCCTCCTCATTTACAAAAGTTTTGTTTCCATTTTATCCTTCCCTTCTCTCTTTTTTTAAAATCCCTTTTCCCTTCCTTCCCTTCACCCTCCCCCATTCCTTATTCACCCTCCCATTGGAACAAGTTCTTCTTACTTCCTGGCCTGTATCCTCCATTTTTCTCCCCGCTTATTGACGTTTTGGATTTCTCACATGAGGGAAGCAATGTGATATTTAACTTGTGTGTCTGATTTATTTCACTTAACATTATGAGGTGCATCCATTTAGCTAAAAATGACTCAAGTTTATCCTTCTTTATGGCAGAATAATACTCCATTGTAGATAGATACATTTTCTTTATCCATTCATCGGTGATGGGCATAAGGGCTAATTTCAAGATTTAGTTATTAAAAACTATGCTGCTATAAACGTGGGCATGCATATAGCACTATGGCATGATGTATTTGACTCTTTCAGGAAGATACCTAGGAGGGAAACAGCTGGGTCAAATGGAACTTTTAATTTTTTAGGAATCTCCATACTGCTTACCATAGCGGTTGCACCAGTTTACACTTCCACCAGCAATGGGGAAGCATTCCTTTCCCCAACCCTAGCCTTGCCAGCATTTATTATTGGTTGATTTCTTAATAATAGCCATTCTTCCTGGAGAGAGATAGAATCTGTGTTGTTTTAATTTGCATTTGTCAAACCACCAGTGATGTTAAACATTTTTTTTCAGATATTTATTTGCTGTTTGTACTTCTTCAGCTGAGATGTGTCTATTCATTTCAGATGCCCATTTTTTTTCCTGGTACCGGGACTTGAACTCAAGAACTTGTGCTTACCATGCAGACGCTTGTGCCGCTGAGCTATATCCCCAGCCCCGAGATGCCCATTTTTGGATTGGGTGTTTAAATTTGGGGGCCTGATTTTTTTTTTTTTTTTTTTTTTTTTTTTTTTTTTTTTAGTTCTTTAGATATTCTAGATGTTAGTCCTTTGAGGAGTAGCTGGTAAAATATTTTTCCTGTTTTGTGGGTTGTCTCTTCCCTCATTGGTGGTTTCTTTGGCTGTGCAAAAGTTTGTTGTTTTAATTTCTTAGGGTTTTTTTGAGACAGGGTCTTGCCATGTAGGTCAGGCAGGCCTTGACCTCACTATGTAGCCCAGGCTGGTCTTGAATTCGTGGCAGTTCTGCCTCAGCCTCTCAAGTGCTGGAATTACAGGCGTGCACTACCATGCCTGGCAAAAGCTTAATTTGATGTGATCCATGTTATTGATTCTTTGTAGTATTTTGTGTGATCAGGTTTTGTTCATTAAGTCTTCACCTACACTTATGTCTATTCTATCTTCCATTAGATTAAGGGTTTCTGTTTTTATATTTAGGTGTTTGATCCATTTCAATTTTAGTTTAGTGCCTAGTGAGAGATATCAGTCTAGCTCCAGTCTTCAGCATGGGGAAAGCCAGTTATCCCTGGACCATTTATTAAAGAGGATACCTCTCTTGCAGTGAAAGTGTTTGACCCCTTTGTTAAAGATAGGTACCTCAGAGTGCTTGGAGTTGTTTCTGCATCTTCTGTTCTGTTCCACTGATTCTCATGTCTGTTTCTTAGCCAGTACCATGATGGTTTTTATCACAGTGTAACTATGTAGTATAAATTCACAAAAAGGATTGTGATGCCCCTTCCTTGTCCTTACAGCCCAGAATTGCTTTTGCTCTTCTAGGTCTCTTCTGGTTACAGATGAATCTTAGTATTTTTTTAATTCTGTGAAATATGCTATGGTATTTTGATTGGGATGGCATTAAATCTGTGTAACAGTTTTGAAAGTATAGCTGTTTTCACTGAATTCATTTTTCCTACCTAAGAAAAAGGAATATCTTTCCATTTCTAATATCTTCTTTGATCTCCTTTTTCAGAGTACTGTAGTTTTCAATATGAAGGTCTTTTACTTCCTTCATTAGATTGATTCCTAGGTATTTCATTTATTTGGATGCTACTGTGAAAGGTATTGTTTCCTAAATTTCTCTCAGTGAGTTTGTTGTTTGTGTACAGGAGGGCTATTGATTTTTGAGTGTTGACTTTGTATCCAGCTACGCTACTGAATTTGGTTATTAAATCTAGCAGTTTTTTAGTGGAGTTTTTGGGGTTTTCTGTGTAGAGTATCATGTCATCTGCAAATAATGATAATTTAACTTCTTCCTCTCCTATCCATATTCCTCTTATTTCTTTCTCTTGTCTAATTGTTCTGGCTAATGTTTCCAGAACTATATTGAACAGGAGTAGTGATAGTGGACATTCTTGTCTTATTCCTGATTTTACAGTGAAAGCTTTCAATTTTTGACCATTTAGTATGATGTTGGCTATTGGTTTATCATAGATGGCTTTTATCAGATTTAAATAAAGACTTTCTGACTGTTCCTTGGACAAAGGTCTTCTATCTAGAACGTATAAAGAATTAAAAAACATCAGCTCCCCTCAAATTCAAAGACCCAATCCAAAAATGGGCATCTGAGATGAATACACACTTCTCAAATGATGAAATACAAATGGCAAATAAATACATGAGAAAATGTTCAACATCATTAGTCATTCAAGAAATGCAAACTAAAACAACTTTGAGATTTCATCTCACCCCAGTAAGAATGGCTAACATTAAGAAATCAACCAATAACAAAGGCTGGTGAGGCTGTGGAGAAATAGGAACTCTTCTCCACTGCTGGTGGGAATGCAGACTGGTGAAACCACTGTGGAAATCAGTCTGGCTGGAGATTCCTCAGCAAACTAGGACTAGAGGTCCCATTCAACCCAGCTATTCCCCTCTGGGTATTTTCCCAGAAGATCTGAAAACATCATATCACAGCAATATATGTGCACCCATGTTCATAGCTGTGCAATTTGTAATTGCTAAATTGTGGAAGCAACCCAAATGTCCATCCACTGAGGAATGGATAAAAAATTGTGGTACTTTTATATAATGGAATATTACTCAGCTCTAAAGAAAGATAAATTCGAGGCTTTTATGGGTAAATGGTCACAACTAGAGACCATTCTCATAAGTGAAATAAACCAGACCTCCATGTGTAAGCAACATATTGTCTCACTTGTGTAAGAACCTGAAAGAGTGAATAAAAATTAGGAGGTATGATAGACATTGTGAAACAAAAGGAAAATGCTCAAAAGTAAAAGGCAACTGGGGTGAGGGAACAGAGAAAAGAAAGAAGGGGAAATTATGTATGTATGTATATACAGGATAGCTAACATAGTTGTACTACTGACTTCTACTGCTTTACTGAAAGGAACAGTTAATGATTACTAGTTTGATCAATCTTGCATGTCTCTATTTATTTTCCTGAGAAACCACTTTGAAGATACCAATACGTAATACAAATACCATTGTTAATTTCCTACCACTTTGTCTGTAACTCTGTATTATTTGTATTGTTCTTATGCTATTTTGTAAATGGATGTCTGTTTGTTAGTATGTTTTCCTTTTATTTTTAAAATAAATTTTTTAAAAAAGATAAAATGAAGTCATTAGGACAGGCCTTGAAAAAAAATAAATAAATAAAGACTTTCTAATCCAATTTTCTTTAGGGTTTTTATCATTTTTCACATGCTTTTTCTGTATCTACTGAGATGATCACATGGTTTTGGTCCTTGCTTCCGTTAATGTGGCATATTATACCTATTGATTTGCATATGCTGACCTATTCTGAGGGGCTTCTTTATAGCTCTCTCTCTTTGCAATGACTTCTCTGAGTGGAGGGGAAGGACCAGACACTCTCCAGTTCCATGGGTTTTGACAGTAGCTGTCCAACTGATATACCCTTCAAGCAGCTGCTCACCTCGTCCCCTACTGTTGGGTTCAAGTTTCTGTTCCAGACTTACACTGGCCAGCAACTTCTGATTCCTTTTTGTTGGCACAGTTGCCACTCACTGGAGTCACTCGGAAGGAAGTTTGGTTGGAATCACTTGATCTCTTCACGCTGAACTAGAGACTGAGTTTAAAGGAGTGGTCATTAAATCAAAGGCATTATCATCTGCTCCTCAACTCCCCTGCTAGAGCTTTGCCTGTGGGCAGTCAACCCCAAGTATGAAAATGGTGTGACTTCATGAGCTCCGCTGGGTCACCCCTAGACTCTGGACAGTCCTGCTACCTGCTGAGAAGAGTCCAGATGGCCCACAGAGCTAGGAGATCCGAGGCCAACTTCTGCTGTGCCTCTGACTCCATCCTCCCTTCGCAGATGACCCCAGCCCATTGTGATCTCTCCCTCCCAACCCTATGTCTTGTGGTCCTGAACTGTGGCACCTGCCTGTGCTGGCCTCACAGGACCTTATAGTGCCAGGTCTTCTCACTGACTCTGTAGAACCCCTGGGGCTAAGGTCACACCTCAGGAGCATCCTGGGTGATGACGTGAGATGTGAAAGCCCACACCTCCAACCAAATCATACTCGGGCCAGCCAACCTGGGTTCAAATCTCCACTGCCACTTGGCTGGGTGATCTTGCTTAACCTTTGTGAATTTCAGTTTCCTCATCTACAAAATGAGCATCATATTAATACCTAGTTCGTAGAGCCATATGTAAATTGAGATTAAGTAAGTTGTCTTCATGCATATTGACCATTGCGATACGTGTAAACCATTACTACCAGTTATCCTTATTGTTTTAAATATTGGATCTATAGATTAATTTCATTTGGAAAAGGAGGAAAATTTGCTGCAAAGAGACACAGAGGGAGAAAGTTTGGTTTGGAAGCCACTGAGTTCCAACTAGCCACTTTATATATTACTGCACAGAGCTGAGAGGTGTGGGGAATTTTCTGTTAGGATACTATCAACCACACTGGCTTCACCCTTTAATCTCCCATCTGTACCCTGTGCCAGCACCCGCCTGGGCCTATTTTGGGTAAAGTGGGTCCTCCCTGGGTGAAAAAGAAGGCAGAACACTGGCAAAATTCTGTGCATCCCAGTGTACACAGATGGGCAACTCAGGACCCTCTTCTTACAGTCCAAGAAATGTTTCCAGTTCCTCCCAACCGCCCACACACCCAGCATGTCCATTCATCTTTCTGGACTTGCACCAGGTACAAGGTGGTACCCTGGCACACACATTCCACTATCTAGCCTGTTAACAAATATGCAGTGGGCACCAGTCTGGGCCACGCACTGAGCCCTCCCCCCCGAGGTTGCCCCAGCCATGAGCTCTCTTCTTCCCGAAGCAGGCTTGCCCATGGCCAGTGGTTTGTCCTCATGTTTGATTGCTCTGAAGTAGCCCATAGTTACTGCTTCCCAATGTGTTTGAACTTCCAGAATTCCTCCAAATTTTCCCATGTCTTAGAAGCAAAACACCCCCAGCCATCAATTCCCAAATCTCAAAGGAGCCTTAGGGCATCTCAGGGACAGCTCCTTCCTATGGAAGGCAAGGAGGTGGGGCCACAGAATGGTCAAGGCAAGAGGTCAGGTTGAGCTTGGGCTAACCCAAGCCCTGGGCTCTGTTGGCAGTACTGAGCCTCTGCCTTATAGATCATGGTTCTTAGTTGTGGGGAGAGAGGGATGTTCCAGGGCAGAGCGGAGGAAGGTGAGAGGAGCTGCCACCACCAGGATAGCCCATGACAAGCTGGCAGGGAAACGTGCTTAAGGCTGGTACTTAGTATCCATGGCTTTGTACTGACACGGGGCTGCCCCCACCAGGGTCTGGGGAAGGAACCCGCAGAGAGCCTGGAGCTAGAGAAGGAAGGGAGGGATTTGAATATTCCAAGCTATGGGGAATAGAAAATGAGCCACTGATTTCATCAGCAGGGACCAAGCAGCTGCTGCCAGTTTCCCCCATCACCCCCAACCCAATCCCCTGCAGGCACCGCCTAGCAGACTAAGCAGAATAACCTAGCCGGCAGTCACATCTCAGCTGGGAGAGAAAGCAAGCCTTTCAGATTTCAGCATCCTTTGGGAACAAAGATGTGTTTACACACTGTCTTTCTGAGCCCATTCCCAGCAATTTTCTCAATTTTCCCTGTAATTTATTAAAAACCTACCTCGAAGCCCAGCTGGTAAGTCAGGCCCTGGGAACAGCTGGAGGAGGGTGAACGGCTGGGTGCGGACTGGTGGGTGAGGCTACTACGGCTCCTGATCACATGCAGAAATCCCAGACCTTTCCTTTCAAACTCGAAACACTACAGAACTCCGGCTAGCATTTCAACCTAGACAGAGAATGAGGCAACAGTGGTGACATTTATTTCATCACTTACATGGCAGGATGGGCACATTGCTCAACCTGAACATTTCATTAATTCTTCTGGGAGAGAATACTGTTCTTTATCATCTTGCTGAGAACAGTGAAGCTGAGCAATTAAGATGAAGGTCCTACAACCACAGGTAGCAGATCTGGAATTCAAACTCAGGTCTTCCAGGTCCAGCGCTGCACCCCACAGCCACTGCATTCACACCTCCCCATACCCCGTCCTGAGCCTTCCCACCCACTCACACTTTCCCCACTGCAGACCCTCTCACCTGGGCCTGCGATGGACTGTGTTCATCTTTATATTGTCCCTCCAAGGAAACAGGCCCAGGTGGCCAAGGGATGTCACCATGCTCAACAGGGGCTCCCTGATGAGCTGGACCATGGTGTGCAGCTCCTTGTGACTGTGAGCACGTGCATACTCAGTCACTTCTGGCCACAACCTCAGGCCACAGGAGGTATGAGACTCAGAAGAGCCACCTACCTCTGTGACATCACACAGCTTGTAAGTGGCAAAGCCGGAAATCTCCCCCTAAGTCTGAGCTCCGCACCTTCTCACCCAGCCATCTCCCCATGCTGCTGGACACTGTCCACATGGCCCAGGCCAGGCGTGGGGGCGGGAGGCGGATGGACACACACGAGGGTGGGCAACCCGTGCACCTTCACCCAGGGTCTAGCACGCATGGGCCCTCCAACCATCTGTTCCTAACTTCTTCCCTTTCTTCCTTCCAGTCCCCAGTTTTCATTGCTGAAGTCAGCCGAGACCTGGTGTCCCAGACAGAGGCCAAGCTCCTGCAGAGACCCTGTAAAGAGCTGTTTTCTGCCTGTGCGCAGTAAGTTCTTCACCAGCTGGAGTTCTTGGCCAACCTGGGCTGAGGACAGTGGGCCGCCAGGGGAGGGGCTGCTCCTATCCCTCGCCAGCAGTGCGGGCTCCAGGGCAGGCCTTCGGTGCCCGGGGGCTCTGGCCAAGCCACCCAGTAATTTGTATATAGTAGTCTCCCCATATCCATGGGTTTGCTTCCCACAGTTTTAGTCACACACGGTCAAATGTGGTTTGAAAATATTAAATGGAAAATTCCGGAATAAGCAATCCATGAGTTTTAAATTATTACCGTATATTGTTATAACCGTTCTATTTTATCATTAGTTATTGTTTTGGGGGTTTTGTTTTTGTTTTTGTTTTTCTTTGTTTTTTTTGTCTTTTTGAGACAGGGTCTCACTATGCAGTTCCGGCTGGCCTTGAGCTCACTTTGTAGCCCAGGCTGGCCTCGATCCTCCTGCTTCAGCCTCCCGAGTGCTGGGATTACAGGCGTGTGCCACTATGCCTGGCTCATTAGTTGTTGTTAATGTCTTACTGGGCCTAATTTACAAGTAAACTTTATCATAGGTTTCTATGTAGAGGAAAAACGTAGCATATAAGGTTCGGCACTATCTGCAGCCTCAGTGTCCACCGGGAGCAGAAACTTCCTCCACAGCTGAGGGGGCCCCTGAATTCTCCCACAGTGAAAGAAAATGCGGTGCCACATCCAAAGAAAACACCTGCTTCAAAGGGGGTTGAGGGCAGGTGGCTCTCCAGGCTACTGAGGTAGAGGAATGTGCAAAAACTTGTTCCTACCTGGATGGCCTTGAACTCCTTTCTGGGCTCCCAGACCCCCCACCACTGTCACCCATCGCAACCGGTGGTGCTGATGCTGGAGGGTGCACAGGCTGCCTGCACAGCAGCACCACATCTTGTCAGCAGGCCCCAGGGCTACCCTTGGGGAGGGTGAGCCACGTTGGTACCGACTAACCCTGCCCTGCCCTGCCCTGCCCTGCCCTGCCCTGCCCTGCCCTGCCCTGCCCTGCCCTGCCACACACCCCTGCCCTTGGGCTGGGACATGCAGGTACATCAACACACACACCCCAGGGACCATCCGGAGCTGGGTCACCTCCCACAAGTGGGTGAGTCTGAGAGCTTTTGCGCAGTTCATTCAGGATGGCAGACATTGAACGCCTGCTGTGTACTCAGCACTGTGCTAGGTCTGAGGGATACCAAAGCGAGCAGGAACACAGTACTGGCCTTCATGGAGCTTACACAACAAAGCCAGCAACTGCATGAACTAGGGAGGAGCTGGGAGGGCTGCAGTGAGAGCTCGTGTTTGGGGAAGACTGCCTTTGTCCAGCCCTGCATTAAGTGCTGTGGAGAGATGAGCAGCAGTAGCCAGGGACGCCCTGACTCTGACCCTGAGGCAAGGCCATCCTGGCCTCCCACACTAGCCTACTTTCAGACTTGGTAGGACACAACCTCGGGTGGGGCCCATCCTGCCATGGTCCCTTCCCTTCCCTTCCCTTCCCCAGGTCCCAAGTGCCTGGGGTAATGGCCATTTTGTAAAGGAGAGCAGCCCGTCCCTGCCCAGAGCCCAGTTTGAAATTTGCCAGGCCCTTCTCTGATGGCCTAAGAACAGAGGAGTCCCCAGTATCTAAGACTCTGGCCTGGGACCTCTCCCCCAGCAAGTGACCAGCAAATTCTGCTGCACACATGAAACACTCATAGTGGTTTTGCTGATCCAGACCGAATCCAATTCCCTCAGGAGCTGCGTCCCTGCTCCCCATGCCTACTTCTTCTGAGTCCCTGTCGCTGCCCCCCCCCATACTTCAGTAAGTCTCCATCTGTTATCAGCTCGGCTCATGGGTCCCTTCCTCAGAGAGACCTCAACAAACCCTAATTCATGACAGCACGTCTCTGGGATCATGTAATACTTATGGTGTCCTGTTTGCATCTCCCCATCACAGTGTCCACCCCATGTTCCCTGCTGTATCCCGGTGCCCAGAGCAATGCCCAGCGTAATCAGGCACCCAATAAATAGCACAGGATCACTCAGTTTCAATCAACCTTCAGCAGCGAGGCAAGGCCTCTGGCCAGAGGTGCCACATCATTGCAAGACCTTGTTTGTTTACATTCCCAAAGGCTTGAGGTTGGGGTTGTAACATGCTGATCCTTCTGTCCATCTGAGCTAGGTCTGTCCACGACTACCTGAGGGGCGATCCGTTCCACGAATACCTGGACAGCATGTATTTTGACCGCTTTCTCCAGTGGAAGTGGTTGGAGAGGTGAGTGGTCCACACCCCCACATGACAGCATCCAAATGGGTGAGGTGAGGGTGCAGGTTTTCATCTGAGACTTAGTATAAGAAAGCAGTTACTTCCCAGGCATCCATGATTAAAGCAGAATTATCCTTATTTCTGTTAATAAGTTCTAGAACTACTCTATGTGTTTTGAAGTATGCATAAATTCAGGCTTCTTGCAGGCTTCATACACTCTTGCTTCTTTGGTTCACTGCCTTTGAGGATTCTTTCTCTGCTAGCAAATTAGAGCCCTTTGAAATAGTTGTACTCCTTTGTTTAGCGCAGTGCCCCATTGATGGGCATTGAGACTGCTCTCAATTTCTTGCACAGCTTTCTCTAAATAGTGAATAGCTTTGTACATAAATCTTTATGTACTTTCGCAAGTACGTGCAGACGTTCCTAGCAGACGAATTTCGGAGTCAAAAGGCACCGGATTATAAACTGTTACGTTACCCTTTATACTAGCCACCCTCAGTTTGCAGGCCTAGCTGAGCACCTGCTTCTTCCCAGCTTCAGCAGCACTGACTTCCTCCTGGGGAGTGAGCTGCAGGCTTTCTATTTCTATTTGCTGCCTCGTTATTTTCAAATTGCCCTTGTTGCGTGGCCGCCCCCCTGTGACTGGTGAGGTAGAGGAGACATTGTCTTGTCACCCAGCCAAGCCAGTATGCAGCTGAGGCGTGCCCTGGCCCAGAAGCCTCAGCACAGGGCTCAGTCCACCCACGTTGTTGCAGGATTTGCAGAACAGGGTGACACCTGTGCTGTGCTACCTGATAGACAAAGGTGGGGGCATCCCCTGTCAACTTGGTCCCTTCCAAAGGAGCTCTGGGACTCAAAGCCTTCACGTCACTCCGTGGTTAGAGGGCAAGGAGCCATCCTGCCCCACCACCTGCATGTGGCCCAACACCATTGCAGCTTGGATCCCCTACAGTTGATTAAAAGGCCGCAGGCCTGCTGCCTCTCATTTTACTTGTCCGTACCAAGTGCATGAAATGCCTGTTTCTAATCTGTGCATGGACTACAGAGAAGTTAAGAGCTCATCCTTTGGAAGGTATTCAGTTTTTGGAGCCAACAGAGCAGGATCCTGGCCTAGCAATGCCCCAAATGACTGACAGCACCCCGCCTTCCTCCCATTTTTTTTTTCCAAACAAGATCGTGGCCTGTTAGTGCTGTACTGTTGAAATATTAAAGGGATTTTTTTCCCTTCCAAGGTTAACCAAGAAATTCCTGGGAAATTGTATTACACTCATTTCCCCCTAGCCGACGAGTTCTGTGGTAATGTCGACCGACTGTTTGTTCTCCATGTATCGTAAACTGTTAGGCCCCGGCCGCCTTCATGTGGTTTCGAGGGCAGCTGTAGGAAAGGCTCCCGGGGCCGCATGGCGGGTGCCAGTGCAGGGCAGATTTGCTCTCAGGCCGCCTGTGTGCTCTGTGGAGAAGGAGGAAAGGGAAGGGGCTGCAGGGGGGCAGCGTTGCCGATGGGGACTGGGCCCCACATCCCTGGAAAACAGTGACTCGCTGCATGTAAATTGGAGATATGGAGGCCCCAGAGTGCTCTGGTTTTGCAGGGTTGTCCTAAGAGTAGCCACGGTGCCGAAGATGTGGCTACCAGTGAAATCCAAACCATCTTCCGGCCCCGGCAGCAAGAAGGATTCTGTGCAAGATACATTGGTTCAAGAGCTGCCGGGCAGTTTGAGGCACACTGGGCTTTCTGGAACTGACCTAGTTCTTAGGCCCAAGTCAGTCTCCGTTCAGCCCCTGGTCAGGACTCCTGGGAAGAGCGTTGCTCACAAATAGTCCTGGAGATCCAAGAGCCAGCTTTCACATTCTAAACTGATTGCCTGTAGCCAAACAGGCCAGGGATGAAAAATAAGCTCTCTCCTCATGCAGTTTCGGGTTCAAATAGATGGCCTACTTGCTCGCTCCTGGAAGTCTGAACTGTCTGATTAGATGTGATAAGTGTTTTTGGCTAATTAAAATGGGCTGTCAGGAGACACATTGTGATGATTACTTCATGACTACGGCCAGGGACATTCAAGATCAGTCCAGCATCCTGGATTGATGAGGGAAATATAATTAAAGGTTCCCGTGGGGGGATGGTTGGGGGGCTGATGATCAAAAAGACTACCCGGGGCAGAGCCAAAGCTAGCAGATTTTGTCCCTAGGAGCTACAGGTGCTATAGCACAGGAAGTGTGGTCTGCCGTTGTGCAGGTGTGGGGAGGGCTGTGGTCTCCCCCCATCCTTAGAGATCTCCTCTGTGA